CCCTTGCCATTACCATAGGGAGGGCCGCTGGATCATAGGCCCTGTAGTAAAATTGCAAGAAGCGTTGTGCTCTGCCTTGTCAGGTCAGTACGATTTCATGAAATGGCAAAAAAAACCACCAAAAAACAACAAACCACCACCAACAAAAAAACAGTCATGCCACCCCAAGTGCTCTGGCTCTTGTCTGATTTCTTAAGCCAGGCCTAAGCCAAGCCTGGTTAGTCCCTGGATAAGAGACCATCAGGGCATCCCAGAGATCTCCAGGACGGGTGAGGCCAGGAAAGAATCCAGCCTGGAAAGCTATTGTGGCTTCCAGTCAGAGTTGACCATATAGGGCTAGATAGTCCAAAAGTCTGGCCGAGGATAAAGTGGCTTCTGATGTTCCCATCATGTTCCAGAAAGACTGCAGACCAACCCATGGTCCTTCTGGAGTGAAAACTGGAAATATTACTTCTGGCACTGCAATTCCCAGAATCCCACCGGCCAGCATGGCCAGGAGTCATGGGGTTAGTAGTCCAGGAAAAAACAACAACATACATTTCAAAGCCCTGCTCTGAATCGGCTAGTTCTCCCCAACTCGCTAAATCTAATGGTTGTTGTGGGTTTTTCGGGCTCTTTGTGTAGTCCAGGAAGAACACACATACATTTCAAAGCCCTGCTCTGGATCGGCTAGTTCTCAGAACTCTGAGTTCTGTCCTCTGAAGATGCCGGCCACAGAGACTGGCGAAACGTTAGGAAGAACAACCTTCAGAACACGGCCAAAGAGCCCGAAAAACCCACAACAACCATTAGATCCCGGCCATGAAAGCCTTCGCGAATACATTGCTAAATCTACTTCTTACTGTTTCCTCTTAACCTTTCTTTGCCAGCATTCAGATGCAAGCTCTCAACCCTTTCTGGGGAATGAACCACAACCATTTGATGCACGAGCTTCTTCGAGATCTCCTCGTGAGGTCGGCAACGTCCAATGGAGGAGCGAGAGGCCTGGAAGCAGAGCAGCTGCTTTCGCTTGACGACGGTGCCCCTGCAGCAGGTCTCTGAGCTCCCTCCCGGAGAACTATCAGGCCAAGCGCAGGAAACCCGGCCGTGGTGTGGCTGGCTCAGATAGCGGGCTGCTGCAAGGTACCCACCCACCTTGCGCCGAACCTCCTCCGTTGGATCAAGCACAGGAAGAGACCATCCCTTCCTCGGGCCGTGCATCTGCTGGCCCCGCCAAGGGCATCCTCAAGGCCCTGATCCAACTCCCAGAGGGAAACCCCGTGTGGTTTTTCTCTTCGGCCCCTTCCTCCTCTCTGTGCATTGTGCCAGGAAGCCTTTGGAGCAGAGCGGAAAGGAAGCCCGTTTCAGTAACGCTCCTGCCTTTCATGGCTTGATTTGGCCAGCATCCTGTTCTGCTCGAGAGGTGTGCAGAGTTCTGCCGGAGTCGTCAGCAAGCGGAGAGCATGCCTTCTTCCCATTGCAGTTGGCAAGGTGGAGGGGCCGTGTTTTCTATGGGGAGATTCCTGCCGGAGCAAAGGTGATGGCTGGTGCAAGGAGCGCGCTGGAGCATGACCGATGGTGATGGTGTCGGCCGCTCCATGGAAGCTCAGTAGGATGGTGGCTTGCATCTCCCGGAGACAGAAGGGCTGGGAAAGTCTTTCAAGATCCTTTAGACTGGAGCCAACAACAGGGAACGAGGAGAGGGCAGTTGGGCGGCGATAGGCGGGTATTTCAGCTTTTTGGCGTAAAAACAAATTGAAAAATTGGCACCCCGGGAATTAAAGACACCCCCTGCAACCCGTCAAAACGATGCAAGCGTAGGACCAACGCTGCCGATGTTCACAACGGTCTGCTTGGGAATGTGGATTCTTCCTGCTCATAAGGGCTCAGATACGTTGTGGCTCGAATGTCATTTCTTCCGTATCATGGAAAAACAACCTGCAGCATTCAGGTCCAAGAGGCTGCTAGGTGGACACCCAGAAAGGCAGGATTTGACCTGACTCTGAACAAAACTCTCCTTGTAGGAACATTGTGAGCTGCTTTGTGGCAGGTTAGAGAAGGTTGTGTAGTTGCTATGCAAAACTTCTCCAAACAGCCCTCCTGCCCTCTGGGTGTTAGGTTTCCACTCCCATCATCCACAGCCGACACAGCCACTAGCCAGGCGGGCTGCGAATCATGGAAGCGGCTCTTCTACAGATCTCGAAGGCTGCCATTTGGGAAAGGCTTGAAGGTCTTTTTTTGGGGGGGGGGGAAATAAGTCCCTTTCTCAGCCTTGGCCAAAGACAATCAGCAATTCAACCCAAAGTGGGGGTGGTGTGTTTAGGGGGGGGAAATATGCTCTTTGGGGAACGCAAGGTTCACCGTGTTTGAGCCGGTGTCTGCTGGCTAGGGGATTGTGAGAGTTGTAGTCAAAAACCAGGCATTTCCAAGCCCTGAATTGAACCTGGGCTTTATTTTCATGCCCCAGCATGCTGTTGAAATTCCTTTTCCCCCAAAGGCTAGTCAGCCAGTCACTGACGAGAAAAATCTATTTGCCTACTTGCGGAAGGAGAGCAAAGACGGGGCTAGGCTGGCCTCCAGTGGCAGGGAGTTCCAGAGTCTGGGAGCAATGACAGAGAAGGCCCTGCCCCGTGTCCTCGTCAGAGGCAACTGCGAAGGCAGTGGTACTGAGGAAAAGGTCTCTCCTGATGATCTGAACACCTGGGCAGGTACCTAAGGGGAGACACGGTCCTCAAGATTGCTTGAGTCTGAGCTATTTAGGTCTTTATGGATTAAAATTAGAGCTTTGAATTCTGGTCAGAAATGGATCGGCAGCCCGGGAAGCTGCTATACCAGGCGGGTTAGGTCATCCCTAAGGTCCAGCCCCCAGTCAGCCATCTGGCCGCTGCATTTTGGACCCGCTGAAGTTTCCCCAACGCTTTCCACAGGCAGCCCCATGTAGAATGCAATAGAAGTTACAACCAGAGCAGGCCCATTCGAATCAATGGAACCTACCGATCCAATGGGCAGCTTGCTATGTTTAGCAAAAGGTTTTAAGCCATTGTGTCTTTGTATGGTCCCCCCCACCAAACATCTTTTTCTATTGTTTTGTAATATTTACTCCAGCTACATGGAAGAACTGTACAGGTTCTCAATACCGTGGCCACCAAAACCAACCCTTTAGCCACCGTCTTCTCAACCATCATTGCTCTTGCTTTCGCACACATCCTTTACACAGCCTTAAGGACTAGCGACTTGTCCTTTAAACAAGATGAAAGCAGACTATCTCAGGAAAAACCTTTCCCCCTGCTTTTTCCCCGCCCCCTTCTGTGCACCGACAGAATTGCATCGCACAACCCTGCTAATAGAGAGGTCCCTCTTTCACAAAACAGCTGGATGCAGCCATTATGTCACCTCCCGCGATCTAAGTCCAGAGCAGGCAGACGCAGGCCCCTAGCCCAAATGGGTGGCCTAATGATGACGAGAGTGGCCATCATCCTCAGTTCTTCTCTCATTTGATGAAGAAGCAAGCTTGCTCTCCGCTTTACGGGTGCTGTGGCCGGCCTCCCAGTTCCGGGTGCAAAAGCTACGCAAAACTCAAATTCCCCAAGCTCTGCAGGGTTTTTCAGCCTTTGGAGAGAACAGTCTAAAAGTCTTCCCTCCCTCCCCTTGGCCCTTTTTCCATGGAATGAAACGACCCCCAAGGGACAGCCACCTCGGTCATGATTCACCCCTGATTTCACACCCTCACCCCCACCCCAGGATTTTCCAGGGCAACACAGTCTCCCTAAAACACCCCAAACTCCATCATACACTCCAACTGGACATGGCCACCAGCCGACCTCGAGGTCACAAGAGCTGATGTCTTGGAGCGATAAATGGTGCAAGCAAGGCTGCCGTCTACTGAAATGGTCAACGTTTAGGATATCCCTTGAACGACACGCCACCCTTTCTGAGCAGAAAACAAGGAGATGGGAGGAGAGAATGTCAAAAACAAGCTCGGTGTGTGTGTGTGTGTGTTATGCCTAGCCTCGTGGGTGCCTTTTGCCCACCCTTGCTGCATATCACAGGGCTTCCCAACCTTGGGTCCCCAGATATTCTCGGACTACAACTCCCAGAAAGGAGTTCCCTACTAGCTGGGCAGCACAGCTAGTAGGGAATACTGGGAGTCGTAGCCCGAGAACGTCTGGGGACTCAAGATTGGGAACCACAGATCGTTTCTGCCAAACTTTCACTCACATATCTTATCCAGATCTCCAGAACCAGGCCCTCTTCGATCTCCCTGGATCGCAACTCCTGGAAGCCCTATTACTGGCTATGTTGCTGGGAAGAATGTTTGGTCCCCAGTGGGAGAAGATGGTTGCAACCAGTATCTGACACTCCGCTCCGGAGATAGCCAGAGGATAGTGCTAGTCCTAAGTTACCGTCTCTTTCCGAAACATTCCTAGCACGGAATCAGATTTCACGTTCAATTTCAGAAGGTAATCTGAATTTTGCTACTCAGTTCAATTTTTGTGTACGTTTGGGCGTGGGTGATGCGAATCAGCTGACACTTCATTTGTTTGCCAATTTTATACGCACTCACAGAATTCTGATATTCTCTACGTAAAATTTAGACAATGTCCAAGATTAGAGAAGACAGCATCACGTTTAGATCTAAAAATCTAGTCCTCTGGGGCCACTGTTGTTTTTATTTTATTATTTCGTTTTCATTTTTATGTCTTATTGTTAGCCGGTCAGAGTAGACTTCGGTCTAGACAGGCAGAGTATAAATCAAATAAATAAATAAATAAATAATAAATTGCCCAGAGTGGCCTTGGTTGCCAAATAAGCAGTATACCTACCTACCTACCTACCTACCTACCTACCTACCTACCTACCTACCTACCTACCTACCTACCTACCTACCTACCTACCTACCTACCTACCTACCTACCTACCTACCTACCTACCTACCTACCTACCTACCTACCTAACCAACCAACCAACCAACCAACCAACCAACCAACCAAATAAAATAAGTTCTTTTTTGCATCTAATAATGAAACAATGGCAACAAATGTTTTATTAAAGGCGAATCACAAAGTTCCCCAAAGGGCAGTTTGAAAGGACAGCGTCTCAGCCTGGCGGCACCACTCAACCCAAGCGCCCCTTCCAGGTCCAAATGGATGAAAGGTTTCATCTGGGGACATGCCCTGGGCCCTTGGCCCAAGACATGCTGGGAACTGTTGGGTGAGCCGATGTTTCAGACCGCTGTCAGCTCCCCGAGATTCCCCACCGCTGGGCAGGAACCAAAAAAAAGCCATTTTAATTCTGCAGCAAAGAGGCGGCCGCAGACGCAACACAAGAATTTTGTTCACAGACGGAGCCAGCTCGGTTAAAAGCGAGGGCGTGCCAGGGGAACTCACACCCCTCTGAAACGGAGAGTCAGCAGAGCCGTTTCCAAGGCTCACAGGAATGCTCAGATTGCGCCAGGGTGGGGCTGAAAGGGCCATCGGTGGCGGCAGTTCTCGGGTCTCCTCCTTGGTTTGACTGGCGCTCTCTTCAAGAGCTGCTCAGATCCACAAGTTTGGCAGGCAGGAAGGTTTTTTCAAGGATGTCCTGGCCTCCGACCCCAATAACGGTGTCTGTTTCCCTTGTATTGACAGAAAGAGATGCATCCGGTTGGCCGCACTTTGCGTTTCCCGATGCCCTCCGGTTCCCAAGTCCTCAGGAGGAAGAAGTGGCTTCCCACTGCCGGAAAATCCGGAAGACCTTGCGAGATTTCTCTGAGAGGCTCTGCAGCAGGAAGAGAAAAAGAGACCTCTTGTAGGTCACCTGGACCAAAGGCAAATCCTATGAGGCATCTCAGGACGCCACATTGGGATGTGGCCCAACCCCCCCCCCCAAAGACGATGGGAGGCTGAACCTACAAAACCATGGCTTCCAGATCCCAGGGAGTCAAGAATCTTCCTCCCCTTGTGTTCTGCGAGAATCAGATCTGTCCCTGCTTTTGAGCAAAGCCAGGGGTGTAGAAAGCAAGTCTTATCGGGAAAAGTGGCCTACAGGGATCACATTTAGCCTTGAGAGGGGAAAAAGCAAAGTGTGGTGCTTATATATGACCCCACAGCACTTAAAGCACACTCTGGATTTCTTACAATTTAATTAATTATGTAGGCTACACATTCTCCCACGCCGACGAGTGAGAAGATACTCATTTTACCAACCTTAGAAGGATGGAAGGCTGAGTGAACCTCGAGCCGGCTACCTGGGATTGAACCTGGTTTATGAGCATAGTCTTGGCTGCAGTACTGCAGCTTAACCACTGCACCTGGAGGCTCCTATTAGAGAAAACCCCCTATCGATCAGTCACACAGGAGAACTCAGGACTGGGAGGTCTGCTAGATCCACAGTTACATGGAGGAGCTTTGAGCTGAACACGAGGAGACCTTTGGGGATGAGAGCAGCACCAAGGGCCCACGTCAGGTGGGTGGGCTCTCCCCTGCAGGTGGTCTTCTGTAATAGGTATCCATTTGTCTCCTCCAGACAGTCGCCGCTGGGGCCGAGCTGGAAAGCGTTACAGCTTCGGACTACAAATCACAGAATCCCTTAGCCAGAATGGCTAGTGGGGAGGGGTTAGTCCCAATGCCATGCTCTAAACCAGCATGCCTACCCCCAAACCCGGGGGGGGGGAGGACTTCTTACAGCAGACTCCTTCTCTTCTGGCCCTTCCGACTGCCGGGATGCCTGGAGGACCCTCAAGACCACCTGCCAGCCGAGATCCGCCTTGCCCTCGGCCTGCTCTCCTCCAGCCACAAAAGGCGCCAGGTCTTTGACCACATTGACCCACGGGCACCAGTCACGATGCTGGGCGACCGGGTCGAAAAAGGTCCGGGAACAGGAATCCTGGCAGAGAGCAGGAGAGATAGAGAGAGAGACATTTTCAACGGGAAGTGGACAGAGTCAGGGGCAGGAGAGAATCATCGGGGTAAGGCATGGGGGATGCAGAGAGAGAGAGAGAGAGAGAGAATGAATACACCTTGTATGTCCAACCTAACCTGTTCCTAACATCCTAGCCAACCGTTTTCAGTATACATGTGTAGCTCAAGCTACTCCATTTTAGAAGGGCCAACTCTAGTCAATTCAATTCAGTTCAAGTCAAGTCAAGTCACCTTTAATACGGCCCAAGACCAATATCCAAATGTACAAACCAAACAAAATCAAGCAATGCTCCATTCTCCTATATAAAATGTGTTATGTGTCAGCATTAAAATATTCTAACAGAACAGATCCATACTGCTGGCTCAATTAGCTTCAAAGGGTTCCCACTGGTAGCTAAAAACCTATCGTTCATTCATTAAAACCTTCCCCTTGCAAATCTGAATAGCAGCGGCTGAAAATTCTGCCACATCGTATAAGATGCCTGCGTGAGGAGGTCCTGACCAAAGGGAAAGGGTCTAAAATGCCTCGGAGAGTCTAAGAAGATCCCGTACCTACAACACAAGCTTAGGTGCAAGAAAAACAGATACTCATGTTCTTCTGATATTCGGAGAAACTTCATTGAGCCTCCTTTTAACATCATTCCCTGGGCGTGCTCTGAAGCCTTGTCCATATCACCAAACACATTCACCCTCAATTCAAAATTTTCTCTGGACTCTTTTTCTCGCTCCACTCTCAGCCTTTCCTAGTGCACACGGTCTGGTCTCTCTCTTTTAGCACTCCTGCTCGTATTTCACAAGGAATGTCCACTCTCATTTCCCCGCCAAGTCATTTCACATTTCAGGCCAGACAGAAGAGGGGGAGCATTTCAAGGTTTCCCGTTATGGCCAAGACTTTTAAACATTTTCTTGTTCAAAACAGGCCTCATTGAGACGTCAACTGGAATCTATCGCCAGGCAAAAAACACAAGGGTCACCTGCCGGCGGGGCTGGAGAGGGTGGCCGGAGGGAAAGACCAAGGCTTCTCGGCTGGGAGAAGGGAAAAGTTACTCTCAGATGGCAACTTCCAGAATCTCCCAGCTGCAGCTGAAGGCTGTCGTCCAAAAAAGGAACGTCTCTGAGTCAGGCATCCGGCTTCTACCACTGACGCTTTTGGGGCTACGTACGTGGCAAAGGCCCCACGGGATTCCAACTCGGCTCAATCCCTGAGGTCTCTTCCCGGTAGCCTCTAGAAGACTTCTTTTGCTGCCTTTTTCTGCCCAACACCCCAGCCCTCTGCCCCACCTTCACCTATCCAGACATCTGGCTTCAAAGCCTGCGAGGAGATCCTTAGTGGACGTTCACTGAAAAGGCGGCTCCAAACCCTTGGGTGAAAACATCAGCTGGTTCACCTCCAGGCCACTGGCTGCTTGGACATCAGCTGACTCTCAGCCCCCTTCAGAAAGGCTCGGGGGGGGGTCTCTGCCACACAGCGGCTGCCTCCTCGTTTCCAATTCTGTCTCAGAGCACCACCAGAGGTGACCCCAAACAACAACAAGAAAACCTTTTTCTATCTGTGCGGCTTCACTTTCCAAGAGGAAAGTAACGCATTTCATTTATTCATTTGCAAGGTATATGAAATTTATAAATAAGGATATTTATTCACTTATTCAAGGCCTGTCAGGAAGACAACCACATGCTTGCTTGCTTGCTTATTTAGTTGTTCATTAATTCATCCAGTCCGCCTCGTTTGTGGGTCTCCTTTCTCCCAGGGAGGGGGCGGCTCCAGGCGACTCACCACATTAAAACAAATAAAACTTAGAAGACAATAAAATCAAAAGCCACTAAGCTCTAAGAGCAATTTACAACACGTGAAGGCATTTAAAAGAGTGAAAGTGGGAGAAGCAAACCTTACGGCGCTAAGGGTGCCGCTCCCAGCCGTCCTCTTCCAAAGAGTTACCACCTGGGTTTCTCTCTGGCCCCGTATTCTTCGCTCCACATGCTCAAGGCACGCGTGGAACAAAGGCGACCAAAGAGGGCAGCCACCAAATGCCCAGAGATGGGGGTCGCACGCGGTGTCCAAAGGCTTCGTGCCCTCTGGACGCTGATGCGCCGAGGATCCCAGCTGTCTTCGCCACAGGCTACTGGTGGCTAAGAGTGGTGGAGCATCAACCTTCGGAGGAGCACATCCTGCCCACCCGTTACAGGTGCAAAGCAGCCGGGAGGGGCCAGGAAGCGGTGAGAAGAACCCCCTGCCAGACTTCCCTTGGCTCCTGAGCCCATCAACATGGGCTCTGCGTGTTTCCACCTCGTACGGTCTGCGCACCACGAATGCACATGGGTAGGCCCACCCGCTTCTCCCTCCGAACACTCACTGAACTGCTGGTGGAGCACAAGCGGGCTCGCTTGGCCCTCCGGTGGGGGCTGGAAGGCACCTCTGCCCCCAGGCCGCTGGTGTCGCCTTGCCCCATGCTGCGGGTGACGGGGCGGCTCCGGGTGGTGGGGCTGGCGGCTTCCGCCTCGGTGCGATCGCCGGAGTTGTCCCAGCTCCGCATGCGGCTGAGTCCAGGGGACGGGATTTTCTCGGGCTGCGAGGAAAGAGGAGAGGAGAGGAAGGGGGCGTGAGCCGGGCTGCTGCGTCCGTGGAGATGGGAAGAGGAGAACTCCAGAAGGAATTCCCAAAAGAAGGAGGGTCGGGATGGCCTTCGCCAGCACCCCACGGAAGAGAGGGGCTCAATGTTTCCCATCCACTCCTAGACCTGCTGCCAGGGGCCCTTTCGATCAAAACCCATGGAAGAGAGGGGCTCAATGTTTCCCACCCACTCCTGGGCCTGCTGCCAGGGGCCCTTTCGATCAAAACCCAAAGCGTCTAGAAGGGCTGCTTCCAGTTTGTAAAAAAAAAAAGAAAAAGAAAAAAAGAAAAGAAAAAAAGGGAGGGTCAGGCCATTGTAGGCATCCTTCCGTCTCAAGATACTATGGTAACATGCTCTGTATGGAGGAGCAGCATCTAGTGTGGCTGAGAAGGCCAATTCAAGAGTGACCATCCCTTCTTCCACACGGAAGGCAAATACAGTCTGTCTCCTGTCCAGCTCCCTGATTTTTCTGGTTTCAGGACGGCCTCTTGGCCTCGGCCTGCTGGACAAGGGTCTCTTCAAATTGGGAGAGGCTGTGATGCCCGCCTGCCTCCAGGCTGGCTCAGATGTCAAGGTTTCCCATCTGTTGAGGTCTATTCCTAAGGCCTTCAGATCCCACTTGCAGATATCCTTGTATCGCAGCGGTGGTCTCCCTCTGGGGCGATTTCCCTCCACTAATTCTCCATTCAGGAGATCTTTTGGAATCCGACCATCAGCCATTCTCATGACAGGCTCAGGCTCATACTTAATGGCAGACAATGTCTAATGGATTGCATTTGAACAGGTCCCTCCTCCCAGGTAAGGACTGCACGCTCCATGGCCTACCTGGTCAGATCCTGGCGGAAAGGTCGTGTCCTGGCTTCGGGTAATCATCCGGCGTGGAGACGTGGGCACCACGGGACCTCTGTCAGGGCGCCCGTCCAGAGGAGAGACGGGAGTGCTGGTTTGGGTGTGGGACGGCTCCGTCTCAGGCATGGCAGATTCAATTTGGAGGAAACCCCACAGGCCCACTTTCCTCATGCACCGGGAACATGCGATTAAGGGGAGATGGACGGATCCAGAAGAAGGACTACGGGACAAAATCCAAACGAGATGCCCCCATCCGCCAAGAAGAAAACGTGGGGTGGGGGAGAAAAGACAAGAGCTGTCAGAGGCTAAAGCAACACCCCACGCTCAGCAGAGAGTTTTAACAATACGCTTTGGGATTCACCGGACGTTTTCCTTTGTCGAGTCAGACGACTTGTCCCAAAGGCCATCTCGGGGCCCACCTCCCCCTTCCACTCTGCAAAGACAGAAACGTGCTTCCAGAGAACAGGATCCTGCTCTAAGATAGGACACAACACCCCTACTTTTTGTTTTAGCCAAACCAAAATGTAAAAGCAGCCCATTTTGGTTTTCTTGGAAGGCACCGGTCTGGCCTTGGGGGGTGCAGAGCAGGGAGGGGGGGGAAATGGCCCAGGGGTTCTGCAGTTGCCCCTCCCCGGCTCTAACTGCCTGCTGTCAAGGCTGCTTGGCAGCGTCATTGGCAAAAGCCTCCAGCAATTTCCCTTCACATCTCTTGCCCACCTGATTCTTACAATCGGAGATGTGAACTACCCGCAGGAACTTCAGAGTTCCTGTGGGTAAAAAGCAAGGGAAGGTCCTACTAAGTAATGGATGCTAAGTGGAACCCCCCCCCCCAAAGCACCATTCAGTGCCTGGCACCTCCATTTTTAAAGGTTTCATGGGTGGGGGAAATCCTAGGTTTGGAGCCCTGGAGAATTTCTGCCTGTAAGAACGGACGGGAGAAGCCCAGAAAGATCAGGCCTCTTCTTAAGTCTTCTGTCCAGTTCTGGACACCACGCTTTAAGAAGGAGGCCAACAAACTGGAGGAAATTCAGAGGAGGGCGACAAGGAGGATCAGGAGGCTGGAAACCAAGCTCTAGGAGGAAAGATGGAAAGAACTGGGCAGGTTTAGCCTTGCGAAAAGAAGATGGAGGGGAGAGAGGAGAGCACTTTTCAAATATTTGAAAGGAAGTCATACAGAGAAGGGGCAGGATCTGTTCTCGATCATCCCAGAGTGCAGGACACGCAGCAATGGGCTCAAGTGACAGGAAGCCAGATTTAGCCTGAATATCGGGGGAAATGTCTTAACTGCAGTATAACAATGGAACCTATGGCTTCGGGCGGTGGCGAGCGCTCCAACGCTGGAGGCCTTTAAGAGAAAATTAGACAACCCTCTGTTGGATCTGCTTTTATTGGGATTCCTGCCTTGAGACAAAGAACGGAGGGTCTTAAACGCCCTGCCATCTCAATTATCCTGTGATTTTATGAGAAATGACCATGGTCTGGTTCTGCCTTGGAAAAGCTATTTTGGAGGGCAGATCTTGAACCCACCCAACAACATGGCCACTGTCTACTCAGCAGAGGTCAAGAAGAGAAGATCTCATAATTGGTTCAGCCGAGAGACCAGGCACCTGGAGCCCCTTATACCCAAATGGCCACCCGGCTGACAGCCATTCCCTCAAGCTGTCCAAACTGTTTCCAAACCAGCTGCCTGCAATAAGAATGGTAACCTGAGAGGGCTTTTCCCCCCCCCTCCCTCCCCATCTGTCTTTCCTCATCTGCTGTGTCTCTCAAGGCAGAGAGAGCACGTCTGCCTTACCAGTGGTCTCATCAGCTGTCCTGGCAGCCCTTTTTGGGCAAAGCGCAGGTTGAGAAAGCTGTGACTATATCAATGAAGGAGGCCAAACAGCTGCTGCTGCTGCTGAGGATCAAAGCCACTGTGGCACATCTTGCGCAGGACAGGAATGAGCTGAGAGCCCAGACCGCCACTCGGGGAGATTTGTGAATGAACCGGACTTCTGACCCCCTCCGATGGCCTTACGTACCTACTTGTCCACCCGCAAAGGGACAAGACAGCAGCGGCGATGTGGACGTGGAGGAGGTCTGAAGCACGCTTGCTGGTGTTTTTCTCACCCTCCGTTTTGCAGCCCACTTCCTCCTCAATCAGTTGCAGGAGAAGGCCGATCTTCTCTTCCGTCAGGGACTGGAAACCCGAGCAAGAAGCCACGGTGAGAGGACACGGTTCCTGGGGGCGCCTGCCTCTCTCCCCCTTTCGTGATCTCCACGGTGGCCAATGTATCTCAGACCCCCTCCCTCCAAAAGCCCTCCCGTTCCCAAAACTCCAGCCCGTTCATGAAGTCAGAACAGCACCTGCACGGGAGGCTTGAAACCCATGACTCCACAGAGCCACCCAGCCCCTTTCCCACCTTCCTCAGCCCAAAGGCCATAAACCACATGGGAAACTCACCATATTTTTAAGATCTTCGGGTTTCAAAGAGGGCAGCTGATGCTCGAGGTGGCATAGGCTCTGAAAACGCTCTAGGAAATCGCCAAGAAGAGCCAGAGGTTCATCGACCAGCAAGACGGAAAAGCGATCTGGTCGGGAGCAAAAGAAACAGCAGACAAAGGGAGGACACCTCAGTGGAGTAGGGTTTGCAGGCACATCGGTCCACAAGGCAGCCGCTTGCTGGGCATCGCTCTCTAAAGTTCAATCAGGTACAACTTCTGTCCCGATCAAGCCCGTTCCGGCTCCTTCAGAAGCCACGGGAAAAAACTTTTCTGGGCTTTCCATGTTCCCAGAGGTGGTCTCCACTACACGGCACAAGAGACCCAGTTCCTACAGGGATATAAGGAGGCCTCCCCACCTCAGCCTGCTTCCAGCTTGCACCCACTGAGAAGTGAATTTCAATGGCCTCTCTGGAGACAAGACACAGGCAGGGGGAAAGCACCCCGATGGCTGGCAGAAAGGACCAGTTTCCATCCACAACCCTGTAGGGCCGCTAAGCTAGGAAAGGCCTCTCTAGCTGGGATCATGGGAGCCCGCCGACGTCCAGAGTCGACCGTGACCCAGAGCAGGGCCACGGGCCACTTGGGTGCCTCCAAATTATCATCAAACGCCTTGGACGGCCGAGCCGACACAGCCAGCAGGAAGGTCTGCTGGCAGTTCCAGTCGGGCAACATCTGGAGGGTGAGAAGATGATGCCCACGCCTGAGCTAGACAGACCACTGACCTCACTGAGACCAAGGCCCCGTCCGAGGCCTCATGCTGTTCCAAAGCCCCCACGCGGATGCTGGAAACAGTGGATAAATGAAGCACTGACGTCTAGGTTCTCTAGGGTCCGTGTGTGGGGAAGAGAGGGGACCTTGGCCCAGTCTTGCCAAAGGACTGAAGGACTGGTGTTCCTGCCCACCTGTCCTCAAGGGAGGCTTCCCTGAGACCAGCAACTTCCCCTGTAGCCCCCCCCCATTCAGCTTCTCCATTTCACCAGGTGTATTTCCATCAAGCCATCTGCCTATAACATAGTTTCTGGTTCCATCTAGTGGTCAGTCATGGTAACGTTCCTTGGTAATGTACTGTGTATTTCTGGGTTTCGGTTTTTCAGGCAGCAGATACGGTAAATGAAACGGGGCGGGGGACTGACTGCACAAATACAAACATATGGTCCTATTTGAATAAAAATTTATGTGTAGCTTCTTTTAAAAAGTGGGCTTTGCCTTTTCTTTTACCAAAAATATAATAATTATTATTTCTTACTTGGACGAATGGAATCAAAATTAAACTTGCCATTTGCTAATTACAAGGCAAGTCATCTGAGAAATCTTAATTTTGGGTAGGGCTGTGCTGAGTATTCTGACAGAGGCAGCCCGGCCTTCAGGGAGCATCTCTTCCCGCACAGCACCACGATTCTGAGGCGAGGATTTGCCTTCGGCCTGGCCCTTTCCTCATCATTACCATTATCTTCTCCCCCCACCCCGTCTAGGTGTGTCCCCACTTACCTGGGCAGGGACTGTCCGGCCAGAAGCAAAACTTCTCATGAGCTGCTGACAACGCTTTCGTCAGCTCCAAACACCTCTCTTTATCTGGAAAGCAAACACACACGTCCTAAGTACGAGGACCTCGTGAGGGACGAAACAGCCCTGAGAAATGTTTTAAGTGGCCTCCTTCTAGCGGATGGACAATCATTAGGAGGCCAAAGGCAGATCTCCAGCCAGGATCATCCCCTCCAGCTGATTTGCCACAGAATTGGCAAGAATTTCTGTTTGTTTGTTTTTTACAAGCATCCCTGAAATGGTCTCTCACCCAAACTTATGCTGCTGAAATTAATGCAGACTTCAGATATCTCAGCGAGAGAGAGAGAGAGTCAACTCCCAGAAACCCTGGCTAGCGCAGCTTGTGGCGAAGGCTTCTGGGGATTGCCATCCAAGAACCTCTGGGGACCCCCATTTGAGAGCATCAGCTTTCCATGCGGCAGTCCTTCCAGTATTTGAGGACCGCTCTCACATCACCTCCCAGCCAAGCTGTCAACCACAACACGTCTCAGTCATAACAGGACCGAGTTCTGGCCTGCTATGGCCCCACCGTTCTTACATTTGTCGAAATCGAAGGTGAGCTGGAGACTGGCACAGAGGTAGGCCTGGCAGCTGGCGCACTTCAACATGTCACACTCGACGTTGGTCCACCCGTACTTGGCACAGATCAAGGGGGACAATTCGTGGGGTTTCCCTGCCCACTTGAGGGAGTGCAGGAGATAAGGAGTGTAACAGTTTAGACAGAAGTATGGCTTCCCAAGCTACTTTGGGATGTCCACGTTGCTCCCTCTCTCTGCTGGTACTTACAGTATCTCCCACCCACCAACTGGGTACTGCCTAGGCAAGTAGCCTAGATCGCTGTTTCCAAATGGGGTCCAGGAAGGGGCCTAGAGGTTGCACACATCCCATCCCCCCCGGGCCTCTGTGGGTGACGCCCCACTGCTTTTAAAAATTGCAAGGAACTAGAAGGCCATTTCCAGCTTTTGGGACAGGAGGTTTGCAATGCTCAGAGTAAAATCAGTCTTGAGTTCGCTTCCTGCGTATGCTGCAGCTTGGTGCTTGCCCTATGAATTATTTCCCCCTGAGAATTCAGGAAAATTCCTGTGTTAATGTATTCGCGAAGGCTTTCACGGCCGGGATCTAATGGTTGTTGTGGTTTTTTCGGGCTCTTTGGCCGTGTTCTGAAGGTTGTTCTTCCTAACGTTTCGCCAGTCTCTGTGGCCATGGGCATCTTCAGAGGACAGTCCTCTGAAGATGCCCATGGCCACAGAGACTTGCGAAACGTTAGGAAGAACAACCTTCAGAACACGGCCAAAGAGCCCGAAAAACCCACAACAACCATTCCTGTGTTATCTTGCCTGCCAAGGCTAACCAAGTCACGAGAGCTTCAAGGACATCCAACTGCTAACTGGCAGAGCTGGGCTGCTCTAGCTGGGAGTGGGAGACTACGGGAAGCAGGGTGGCTTTCTATTTGAGGCTCCCCCCCCCCCGCTTGTCCATCTGATTGCAAGAAAACAGTGGGCTGCCTTTGCTATTCCCATTTGGCTCCCAAAAACCAGGTGAGACCCTGGGCTACTTAGAATATGCAACTGAATATATTTTGGAGTGGTGCTGCTTGCAGTTCCTGCCTCACACATGTTTTTAAATTGTTGGAATTGCTTTTTAGACTCAGCTACTGCCTTCTGTGAATTGTATGTAACCAAATCTTTAATTTTGACACATTAATATTTTGACATATTTTATAGACCTGTGTTGGTCTTAAGCGATAAGGAGCACGATCCGAGCTAACGCCAGTCCTAGCTGCTTAGCCAAGCTACCAAGTAACTAACCCAGAGCCTGGAGAACTTTGTGTTCCTGCAGTTATAAGGAGACCCAGCCTTGCAAAGGTTGGGGAACCGCCTCGAGGCATCCATTTCCTTGGGACGGACAACTGCCTTTGACTAAGACAAGTGGCAGCTCTGCTAGTATAGAAGTTTCGAATCTCACAGGCCCATTTTGAATGCTAGGAGTCTCTCCTAAATAGTCTTTTCATGGGCAGTCTTGCTCCCTGGAGTCTTCTGAGGATGCAATTCTCATTTTTAAGTCACCTTTTTCATTTCAGTGATGAGAATCCCATGGGGACATCTAGGAGATGTCATGGGTGCCCAGTGGCCTATGGAATTCCCAACTCAGAAGCCATGCAGTTCCTGCCCCTAGAACAGCCAGCGCTTCCTTCCGCGGCAGAACTTTTCCAGTCCTGACAACCCTTACCCTCCCCTGCCTTATCCCCTTGAACTGTCTCGTCATTTGCAGAATGCCTCAGTAGCAGCACACCAACCATGAGACTCCCCCTCCAAGAGAAGTTAAGCTGGCTTCATCTCTGCCAAGTTTGCGACAGGCAATTGAATGTTTTGAAAGATTTTGGGCTCTAAGATGGTCTTTACAAACGGGCTTTCGCCAACCGTTTGGATCTGTTTACTTACTTAAAGTATTTTTACCCCACCTTTCTCCTTAAGAAGGAAAGGACCCAAGGCGGTTTACATCGTTAGAAGACAATATTTAAAGCTAAAAACTGTAAGTATACAAATACTAAAAAGGATGAAACAAATACCACGCTAAAACACAGTAAAACAAAAGCAACACCAAAAACACAATCAAAGCAGGAAGGCACAATGATGCATTTAAAACCTGCATTCAGGCAGCCAGTCACTGAGGGAAAGTTTTCCTGAAGTGAAAGGTCTCTGCCTGTTTGCAGAAGAACAGCCAAGATTGGGCCAATCTGACTTCCAGTGGGAGGGAGTTCCAAAGTGTGAACAGCAACAGAAAAAGCCCACTCCCGTGTCCCATCAACCGTCCCTGTGCGGGTGGTGGGACTGAGAGAAAGGTCTTTCCTGATTATCTTAATACACAGGCAGGCTCACAAACTCTGATTTTTTAAAAAGTTTGTTTAAATATTTAATCTACGGCACTGGGAGTTTTGGTGAGCAGAAAGGGTGATGAACAAATACAGTGCATACACACGGATATACATAAATAATGCCCAGTCTTGTGAACATTTGGTGTGAAATCCCATCTGCCATCTTTCAAATCCCCATATTGAAAAATGCCCACAGAAACTAGTCCCCAGAGATCTCCCTTCATGTCCTCCCCACTTCCACCCCATTCATGAAAACAGCCTCATGGGTGGGGGAAAGGATATGGTAAATGTTTCCACTCGATTGAAGTAGGCTTCTTTGCTGGTGGCTTCAAAAGGCAGGTTATCGGTCTGGGGAGATCCATTTGCTACTTCATGAAAGGCAGACGAATCCTTCCTGAAATGTATGGAACAGGCCATAGAATAACACAATTTTCCATAAATGCTGTCAATGAAAAATGGTTTCCCTCTTACACTCCTCCTGCATTCAACCCAATCCAAAGGTTTATAAATGCCTACAACTTGCCACAACAGTTCAAGAGTGGCAGTACCTACTAAGAACCAAAAATAGCCTGAAGATCAGCATGGTCTGCATGACATGATAACACTTTTCAATTACTTGAAAGGCTGTCATAGAGAGGAAGAGCAGGATCTGTTCTCGTTCATCCTAGAATGCAAGACACGTAAGAATGGGCTCAAGTCAGAGGAAGCCAAATTTCGGTTGAATATCAGGAAAAACTTCCTAACTGTTAGAGCAGCGTGACAATGGAAGCCATGACATCCAGAGGTGGTGAGTGCTTCAATGCTGGAGGCATTCAAGAGAAATGTAAACAACCACCTGGCAGGTCTCCTTTGAGCTGTATTCCTGCATCAAGCAGGGGGTTAGACTTGATGGCCTTATAGACCCCTTCCAACTTCACTATTCTATGATTCTATGAATGTTTGTGGGTGTCCTCATTAATGCCACCTGGAAATTGTTATTTTATTTATTTATCTAAAATATTTTTATTCCTCCTTTCTCCTTAAAAAGAACTCAAGCTCTAGACTGCTCAGGGCACAGCTGACATACACTGCTTATAAGCTTCATTGAAGACAACAACCGGAACGATACACATGAAAGACCTTTAATTGGCTCCATATTAAGTGCTCGGACCTGGTGCTTCACTCTTGATTCTACCTCTTCCAGTGCTAAATCCAGCCCCTTCTCCTCTGATATATATCTTACTTCTTTGCACTCAGCACACTTAAAGAACTGACTATGATGAGATGGTATGAATTCACAGCAGCACAAAGCTGTACTGAAAGCACAAGCGGAAAATTCACAGAACCTGGGCAGGATCTTGGCAACTAGTTGGGAGGGCCACACTATCATCTCTAGTACTAGTTAGAGATGTGCAGATTTGTGTTTTTTGACCGAGGAAATTCTCAGACATGTAGACACAGCCTAACTCTGCATATCAGTTGCAGGTAACAAGAGACTGAGAGTGCAGACGTTTCATCCAGGGTGGATAAAAATCAATGATTTTTTTAAAAAAAATCAATTTAAATCATGACATAAATCAAATAATAGGTTTTTAAAATTTCAATTGTCCAAAAAAATATCAATTTTTTAAAAAATTTAAATCAAATCCACCCTAATTTAATCTGGCCCACAGTCTTCTTCCGAAGTTTTCACACAGGGCATTAGGACTCTGAGAAAAGTTTGCTCCTTAACCCAGTTATCCATCAGGAATATTGTTATCTGCCTTTCCCAACGTGTCACAGTTTCAGAGAATAAACTGAGCTGGAAGGGGTTGGTGAGGCCATTCGAGTCCAACCCCTCGGGGCTCAAGGCAGGAACCCAGGTTAAAGCAGGTCCGATTTTTCTCTTGAGCGCCTCTCCCTAGCGCCGGAGCGCTCGCCACCTCCTCAGGTCCATGGGTCCCCTCGTCGTACTGCTGGAACAGTTAGAAAGCTTTTCCTGATACTTTCACTTTTCCTGAAAATCTGGCTTCGTGTTGCTTGAGCCCATTCTGACGTGTCCTAAAAACGGAGTTGGAAGCCCCCCCCAACCCCGCAAAGGCCACCGAGTCCTACTCCCTTCCAAATCAGCTTCCCTGGTTCACCTCCTTCGAGGGCTAAGAAACGTTACTCCTCCCCCCCCCCTCCACCAAAGGCCGGGCCTGCGGGAGCCTCCGTGAGGGATGGGGGGGGTTGTCTGTCTGGACTCCCTCCCCGCCCCCCCAACCCCACCCTTCGAGGCTGCTTTCCTCCGGGGCGATCCCCCCGTCGATCAGCTCCCGGATCTTCTGCGGGGTGGTCGCGGGGGACCTGGGCTTGGCCCCGAAATCGCCCTCCTCGGTTTCGGAGGCAGGAGCAACGGCCGCCAGGCTGGGCGCCGCCATCTTGGTCCCTCGAGGAAAATCCTTCCCCCCCTCTCCCCGTCGCCGCGCGGGCGAGAAACATCCGTTCCGCGAATATTCGTTCCTCCCCCCACCCTCTTACGAGCCTTCTGCCTGATTGGGAGGGCGGGGGGGGTGTCCCCCACTTTGGGTCCTCAGGGGGGTCCTTGGACTACAACCCCCAGAAGCCTTCACCACCAGCTGTGGCTGGCCAGGCTTTCTGGGAGTTGTAGTCCAATAACATCTGGGCGCTGTTATGGAAATATCCACCTATAGTAGAAATAAGTCTACAGAGTCTCTGGAGTGAAAATGGGAAATTAAGTTCTTTATTGTGACGCAGTTGATCTACTATAGGTGGATATTTCCAGAACAGCACCCAAGGTGGCGAACCGCTGGCTCACAGGAATAAAAGGGGACCCCCACAAAAGGTGACAGCTGCCCCCCTTTTAAAATGGGGGTAGTCGACAGTATGGCTTTCCCTAGACTGCAGAAGAGAAGAAGGGGACGGGGCCCCGATTTCGAACAAGGGGAAGGATACCTGGCTCGCCAGGTGTTTGGACTAGAAGTCCCATCCTCCACCACCACGACAATCCTATCTTGTTTGCAGGGCCACAGGTTTACAGCTCCTGACTGAGAAAGCAAAGCAGCCGAGCCTGCCTGAAAGGAACTTTTCCATGAGGTCTAGATCCGTGCGCCTCTTTTACTCTTACACCAGTTCGGTTAAATAACACTGGGATGGATCTGGACAGATTTGCCGGAGGTCCCAAGCCATCCTCCCGGCTCAGGCGGTCGCTTTTAAAAGTGGCCTCCCAGGTGGGAAATCCAAGAGTTGGCAAAGCGAGGGGTGGGAAGGAAGATGCTGCCTCTGTTGGACTTCCGTCTGCTCTGCTCAAGGCTTATGGGCACTGCCAGCTATGTTGGCTTGGGGAAATTTGAGTACAGTCACTGGGAAGCCACAGGACTTCAGCTCCATCCCTGTTATCTCCTGTGAGACCATGAGGAGGACCTGATTGCATGAGGAGAAGATTAACCAGTGGTATAAGGCAGCCGGCTATGTTCTCTGGTTGCCCGTTTGTCTGTCAAGGCCTCAAAGGCTGTTGGGGATGACTGTTCTCCTGGCCAGGATAGGTGTGTGGATTTGTGATTTCCAGGAGCGATGGTATCTTGGGGGGGGGGGTTTTCTGGTCAAAAACCACACATCCACATATGTGTGGCCCAGTCGTGATTTGCTCAGCCAGTGTGCTTCCAGCCTGGATTAGACGAGGGTTCGGAAGACCTGGGTCCAAGCCCTACTTGGGAACTCACTGGGAGATCTCGGGCTAGTCACCCTCTCTCATCCTGACCTACCTCACAGGGGAGTGGTGACGATAAAGTCAGAAGGGGGATAGTAAGCCAGATAGTAAAGTCACCAAAAAAAAAATAATAATAAAATTTCTCTCCCCCAAACCCTTGACCTTCCAGCAAAAATACAGTGTCTGGGATCCGTGGAAAATGGGAGAAGGCATCGTAAACCGGATGGTGCAAGTAAAAATAATAAAGAACCCTATGGCATCTTAAAGACTAAAAAATGCACTGTATTATAGGGAGAGCGTTTGCGGACAATCACTTCACTTGCTGGACAGCTCAGTGGTTTAGGTCTCTGGCTGTGGAACAAGGGGTTCGGAGTTCATTTCCCCCACTGGGTCTCCCGCGGGTAGAGCCGGCCTGGGTGGCCTTGGGCCAGCTCCACAGGCCAGGGTGGCCCCAGAAGAAGGGAAGGAGAAACGACTCCTGTGTATTCTTGACGTGAGAAACACCTGTAAACGTTCCTATAAGTAAGCAGCTATCAGATGCACGGAGAATTTCACCCCAAATTTCAGCTCTCTCTCTCTATATATTTATTTATTTGCTTGGGTAGAGCCGGCCTGGGTGGCTTTGGGCCAGCTCCACAGGCCAGGGTGGCCCCAAAAGAAGGGAAGGAGAAACGACTCCTGTGTATTCTTGACGTGAGAAACACCTGTAAACGTTCCTATAAGTAAGCAGCTATCAGATGCACGGAGAATTTCACCCCAAATTTCAGCTCTCTCTCTCTATATATTTATTTATTTGCTTTTTATTTATAGGCCACCTTTCTCCTAACAAGGGGGCCCAAGGCAGCTCACAAAAGAGCAGAATTAATATTTATTTATTTGCTTTTTATTTACAGGCCACCTTTCTCCTAATAAGGGGACCCAAGGCAGCTCACAAAAGAGCAGAATTAAAAATATACAGTAATGAGTCATTTTTTTAAAAAAAAATTAAACTATACTCTAATTAAAATACAATTGAATAACTAAAATTAAAAACTGTCTTTCCCCCTCTCCCCGCCTTAATCTACGCTACCTGCCCAACCCTGTGCCCTGTTCCTCTGCAAACATGGCAAGTTCCTTTTTTGGACTACAAGGCCCATAATCCGCAAGCCATTCTGGGAATTATAGTCCCTAAGACAAGCAGCTCTTCCCCTTCGGTGACCATGCACCTGACGATTTGAGTTGCAGCGCCCGACACACGACGGCACCATCACCGCTGCCGCCGCCTTCAAGGTCCCACAGAACTCTTGCGCTGCTTGTTGCAATACCAGACTATAGATGGGAATCGGTGCTTTCCGGGTTCGATTGCTCACGCCTTTCTGTCTTCGCTGCCCCAGCATGGCCGCCGCCGAGAGAGAGGATCCCAAGCCGGAGGCGGCGATCGATTGCTTTGGCCTTCATCCGCGTCAAGCCCATTCTTCGCCGCGCTCTACGTTCTCTTTTCACGTCCCCTCGGAGCACGACCCAACAAGCGCCGCTCTGATTGGCCGGCCCAGTCCGAAGCCGATGCCGATTGGCTGCGAGAGGGGGCCTGCCCATTTCCCCCCTTTCCGGCCCCTCTTGAGGCAACTGAGGAGGGTCCCGCTTCGCCCGTCGTCGCTGCTTCTTGAGGGGGCCCGAAGCGCAAGGGGGAGG